GTTTACCCAGGACGTTTGGCCTTGAGCTCTGCCTCATTTGAAAATCACTTGCTCTTTGTCTGGATTGTACGGCCACATGAAGATGAAACAAGACCATTTAAAAACCCATCCGAGACACGGGGCTGAAAAGCTCTTTTACTAATATACAGTAGACTTTAGGCTGCAGTTTTGAATTGTGTTTGCTCAGATGATTATGAAGATTAAGCGTCGAAAACAAAGTGCAGATCCCCTTGATGACCAACCCAATGGCTGACTGCTCTCTCTCTGTGTTTATGCACGATTTAATGTCAGAGAAGTTGCATGAATGAGTGAATGAATAAAAAAAAAAAAATTCATTCTAGATTCATCTAGTGATGGGTTTAGCACCTCTGCAGATGCTTTAGTGACCTGTGATATATGTATTCACTGTTTCAGAGGTGAGTTGTTGAATGTGGAGCTATTTGATGAAAATAAAACTAAATCAGCTCTGAAAAAATAACATATAGAAACCACACCCAACAACAGCAAAACTTAAAACAGTAATTATAATGATTATGATTATATAATTAAATTATAACAAATATAACAAATTATATGGCGATGTTAAACAGCATAGGTCTCTATAATATTATGTAAAATATAATGTAAAAATACATAAATAGATTTTTAATCTAAAGGTGTAAAGGTGTTTAAAGGTGTAATTGTGTTAGAATGTATCACTAATGTATTTATTATAATTGAGAAACTATTATATACTCTTATATATTTATAATGGTTTTCATTTAAATTTTAGCAAAGGATTTAGTAATATCGTTGTGTAGATTTTCACCTTTTTTGTCTATAGTTTTCATTCATTTTTATTTCAGCTTGTTATTTTAGTAAGTATCAAGTTAAACTAAATGAAAATGAGAGATTTAGCAAAAAAACTAAATGTTTAATTTTAATTTTATTTTTAATAAAGGATTTAGTAATATTGTTGTGTAGTTTTTCACCTTTTTTGTCTATAGTTTTCATTCATTTTTATTTCAGCTTGTTATTTTAGTAAGTATCAAGTTAAACTAAATGAAAATGAGAGATTTAGCAAAAAAACTAAATGTTTAATTTTAATTTTATTTTTAATATTTTTATTTAAAATAACCAGTTTTAGTTAATTAAAATAACCCTGGATTTTATATATTTCTGTGCATTATTTACATTAATTTGTTGTTGTTGTTGTTGTTTTGGACTTTTTTAGGCAACAGTCTACATTTTTCAATTTTAGAATTTATTAAAATAACTGAATTATTAAATGAGTGACACACTGTGATTTTTTAAAAATACATTTAAAAAAAAATCTCTAAAAAGGTAAGAAAACTAAAAAATCCCCTTAAAAAGTTATTTTTTGATACTGCTATCTGTGTCCCATTCCCTCTTTCTTTTTCTGTTTCTGTCCTATTGCGGAACACAAGGTCTTGTTGAGGCAGGATGAGTGTGTTATCAGGGTTAACAGAAGACTGAATGGAGGTAATTGTGTACAAGTGACTACACACAGGTGTCTTCACCCTCCCAGTGTTGAGTTGGCACAGACCCTATACTGACAGCTGCGGACAGATACAGTCTCTTGAGTGTCTGTGTGTTTGTGGGTCAGGTTTTGCTTTCATACTCAGAGCCTTTACTATGTAAATGCAGCTTAGATGTTTAAATATATTCAGGAAAGAAAACACTAATCAAAATACAATATGCAAGTAGAAATAAGAAAAAGTCAAATTGAAGTTCAAATATGACATTGTTGTTAGAATGTTTAGCATTTGAAGTCTGACTAACAGCAGGATAAAAGGCTGGAATAAACATCCTTTGCCCAGATTTTTGCCTCGTTTTTTCAGTTTGAACACCTCAACGCTAGTTGCCGCAAGTCTGAGCCAGTCTGCAAATTTCTGTCAGTTAGAGTTAATAGATTGTGCCAAAAATTACGTAGTGTATGATGGGCACAGAATCAGCTTTTTTTAGATTCAGACTATGATTCCATCCAGCTGGAGGATTTCAGACATGTTTAATATTTTGAGCCTGTTTTAGAAAACATTTTCATTTGTCACGTGTCTTATAGCCATGAGGCGCATATTTCTGCATGAGTTTGTTGTGTTTGGAAGGACTTGCAAGTCTGGTAGTGTGTAATCCTCAGTCGTTTAGTGCATGATGTCCAGTTTTTCTCTGTAACCATTTACTAAGTTGGCGAGTATATGATTTCTAGTGTCTTAAAAAATATTTTCAAATTTCAAAAGTTGTGTGGCGTATTCCAGCCCTAAGTCAGTTGAAACAAATTCAAATCTTTAATTTCAAAATTTCAAAAGTATGAAGTTTGCAAAAACTGAACAAAGGCTGACATTTTCCACAAAAAGTTTGGCGTTTTAATTAAATGTGGAAAGATTTGGAGTCTAAATGTGAAACGCTTAACGCTGAATTAATTCTAATAAGGTTCACTAATTAAATGTAATATTAAAAACAGTTTATTTGCAAATCAGTATGTGATTTGAGTTATTTGATAAGATTTTACATCATGCAAAGCATTGTAGATTTACAGTGATGGATGATTATTTTGACGTATGGATTACTGCATGTGTTTAAGAGCTTGTGGGTTCATTAGAAAGTTCTCAATCCTTAAATTCGACAGCTTTATATAGATGCTTTATATATTATGTGGTTGAGCTGAACAGCTGGAATAGTCTATAAGAAACCCAACCTGTGGAATTTAATTTTGATGCGAGTCAGGTTAACACACTGTTTAAGTTCATAATGAATACTGTCAGATTCCAGCCTGACTGCAAATTCTGTTTTTAAACAAACACACGGAGTGAATCGACGGGATTCAAGGCAGCACAGAGGCCAGGGATACACAATGAAAACAAACGAAAGCCTAGGAACAAGGGATTGGTGGAGAGCTGGTGGCTGTCAAGAGCCTTAAAGCGGGGAGACATTTGCAAGTGATAAACTGAGAGAGAGAGAGAAAGATAAAGGTTGGGTTAAAAAGTCCAATTCCCCCTCAAGAGGTTTCTGCGGTTGCCAGTGCACACGGACCATCCAAATATCCGTTTTGTCCATGTCTTGCCGTCTCCGTTTCCAGTGGTGCTCAACAAACGGTCGTTAACCAGCCAAATTAGAAAAGCAAACTCCCGACAGGCTTCTGCACAATCCAGAAAATAATAAACCCACAATGAGGAGCATCTTCTGGGGGCCTTGGAGCATCCTGCAGCTGCCTGGCGTGGACGAGAGACTGAAATAAGCTGAGACAATGAGGCTGGATGGAGCAGGACAGATAGGACTGCATCCAGTGGAGGATGAGGGCTGCTGTCTGCTGCCATGGTATTGAGCCTTTTTGAAGCCATAAACCACTCTGCATTTTGATAATTTTTCGTAATTTGATTCATGCAGCATTAACTAAGAACTGAGTATGACAATTCTAGGCTAAAACGCTCTGTATGTAATTTCTTATTATAGGAATAGTTCATCCAAAAATTTAAATTTGCTGAAAATGTACTCACCCTCAGGCCATCTACAATGTAGATGAGTTTGCTTCTTCATTCAAACAGATTTGAAATATAGCATTACATCACTTTCTCACCAATGGATCCTCTGCAGTGAATGGGTGCCGTCAGTATGAGAGTTCAAACAGCTGATTAAAACATCACATCACAGAGGATCCACTGGTGAGCAAGTGATATAATGCTAAATTTCCACAGATCTGCTCCCGTGAAGAAACAAACTCACCTACATCTTGGGTGGCCTGAAGGTGAGTACATTTTCAGCACATTTTTTTATTTTATGAGAGTTCAAACAGCTGATTAAAACATCACATCACAGAGGATCCACTGGTGAGCAAGTGATATAATGCTAAATTTCCACAAATCTGCTCCCGTGAAGAAACAAACTCACCTACATCTTGGGTGGCCTGAAGGTGAGTACATTTTCAGCACATTTTTATTTTTGGGTGAGCTATTACTTTAATGCAAACACAATCACAGTCTGAGAATTGTTATTTTTAAAAACGATGTTTTTATAAAAAATGTGCTTTATAAAATCCATTATTCAAATTAAATAAACAGAACTATAAAAGCATAATGTGACTGATAATATTGCAAAGAAAAAACTAATTCACTCACTCTGAACCTAAAGGTGATGTGTGTAATGCAAAATAATAATGATTGCTTTTAAGTTTCCAAACAGGTTCCAAACAAGCCTTAAACTTTGAGCAAAAATCTATCTATTGATGGCTCATTTAAATGTGGGATTTTAAAACATTTTAACATTGAACAATTACTCAAATCACCTTTAAATGGAGAAACACTGATTGAATGGCTTTTAGAGGCACTGCTGCTTTGTAACAGTGTCTTTCTCATACTCTCTCTCTCTCACACACACACACACACACACACACACACACACACACTTACTTACTTTAAATGGACTCTTAAAAGCTTGCCATCCGGTCAAATCACAAATTAGACTTTCATTTTTTTGTCCTGTAAAACCAAAAACCCCCAAAAATTACATAATGTTCTGCATGTTTACTACTTTGGCCGTCCTATTATTGTCATTGATCCATTAATATAAGAAACATTTTTGAGATAACATTGCTCTCATTGAAAAGGATGGCAAACATTTAAATGTGCACATTTAAATTTCAGCTCGCATGGAACATTTTAGAAAAGGCATTCTGTTATAAGATTCAAAATACAAAAGAAATCACCCACCCTCCACATGCAAAAAAAGTGAAGGGAGGTGTTTAGTGAAGATTATTCAGAATAGTTAAACTGTATATGTGTACATATTTTTTTAAATAAATCCATACAAAAAAATACACTTATTTTTATTCTTTTGATATTTTCTTCCAAATAATTGCAAAGGTATATAAGCAGCTAGTCTTTCTACATTAAATATGGCAAAATAACTAATCTGATCTCTAACTCCAGACACAGTGGATAATTCACAGTTCAGCATCCAAATGCATAGTTCTAGAGTGGATCTCTTTAGTTTTCAGGTGTCTCTTCTAGGTCCTCTTACGGTACGGTATATGGCTGTTTAAATGACAAATATGGCTAAAGTCTGATTGGGTAAAAAAAGGAGTACTATTCAAAAAAAGGTAATGTATAAACCTCTTTTTGTCTGTATCTTTTTGCCTGATGTAAATGGTCAAAATGTCATTTTTGAATCTGGAATCTGAAGTTAAATAGAATCTGGAACAGTAATAGCAGTGTGAGGACATTTACTCCTGTTTTTGACATTTGTTCATAGTGTTCCGTACCTAACTTGAGTTGGATGTGGATTTTACTATAATTTTCCACAACCAGATTGGACCACTTTTTTTTGTTGGTGAGGTCACAGTATAATTGTTTCTCCCTTGTTTCAAAATCCAGGGTCTATTTCACTGTCTACTATCCGTCATCCCATCCAAATGTCCTGCCAGTCATCTGGTAGAACTTCATGTTGAAAGGCCTGTAGAAGTCTCTAAGTCTCTGCACGACCTCAGGGTCAATGTTTGGATGGGTCCGCCCTTTGGTTTTACCCAGGCAATGGGGCTTGCTGCTGCCCTCTGCCTTTTTGAGACAAGGGAAGCCCTTGGTCTGGTTGAAGTAGAAGTGTTTGTCTGTGATGATCCTCTTGAGCCCCAAAAAGTCCTGCACGCGGCCCAGCTCTCCGGCCGGGTCACTGATCAGCCGCTCTCCGCTCACGAACAGGATCTGGCTCATGGGGAAGAACTGCAGCCAGTTGTCCAGGTGTTTGGCGTAGATGCCGATCTGAATGGCGCTCCACGAGGTGTCGATCAACCCTGTAGTCCTGTTTTTGAATGTCAGGCTCTCAAAAGTAGGAATGTCAGGCTTCTTGGACAGTGTCTGCGTGTAGTCAGAGATGGCTCGAGTGACGGGGTCCCGGACCACCACGATCAGCTTGGTGTCGCGGGACATGGCGTAGATCCGGGCCGGAGCCTCGCGGGTCACAAAGTAGCTTGGTGTTTTCTCCATGGTGATCTGGTCCTCCAGGGTTTTAGGCATCAGGTCCCTATGAAAATAAAATGAAAAAGAAGAGTTGATGTAATTTTAGTCAGTAGTTTAATTGGTAAACTGTATCTAAAGCTTTTTGCTCTCGCTCCAAACCAGCATCCAACACTCAAGAGTTGTTCTCATAGTTGACCTCATTGTTGTTAATTTCTGAGAGGATGAATGCTTTTCTCAGAGGCTCTTAGTGCCAATTGAGACTCCATTAGACCATCAAGCTCTGAGCCCAACATCACACGACCCTAGATCCTCTCTCCTATAATATAGGTTTCTTTTGTAGCGGAGTTACTGACAAGACAAATTATTGAGCAAAGGTGCAAAAAGACAGCGTATCTGACAAAAACACCAAAATAAGTTACTGCTCATGCTGGCTTTCAAGATAGTCCTCCATTAAGAAAAATAGCCATCATTTTGTTTCCATTATAAGCCTTTGGGGCAGTTGTAAAACTTTTCATGTGATTTTTTTCTCTTGTGTTTTGCATTCTAGCTCTGTCGTATCTAGAAGAGGAAGAAAAGAGTCTAATCTGTTTGTCCATGCCGCTCTCACTCTCTCTTCCCACTGCTCTCTAGTGCCTTCAGGACACTGACCTGAACCAAAGAGGATAAAAGCAGTGGATTAATGATTTACAGCACTCCACTCCACCATTTAGAGCCTCATAAGGCCCGTTCGCTTCAAATTCAGCCCAAGTGCAGAATGCAGCCCTCAATTATTTATCTTACTCCACTGGGGGGTTTAGGCCCTGACAAAATGGCCTCCCTCAACCCCGATGGCGGTTTATGGGCCGTAATGGCATTAGCGGGCCGGGGGTCAGCGGCTGTAGATAGCCCTTCAGGTCGCTTTGAAAAAGGCCCTTATTTTTCATTGCCAATTGTATTTCATGTCACATGCCACCACAAATTCATGCCTCCTGATAAAAACAAGAGCCCAGCGACTTTCCAGCATGTTGCAGCGAGTGTTTATGTGCTGTGCAGCTGGGCCGTTTCGCTCAAGTGAACACCACAGGTTGCTGATTGAGTCGTGTTTGCAGCACTCCCACAGACAGAAGTTGTTTCTGGAGCACAAATTAAACTGGTGATGTAACACACAGCAAAACTTTTGCATACTAATTACTTGTTTAAGTGACTTTCAGTATGCTTTTAACAGGATCAGCCCCCCAAAAGTAACACGGGGTAAAGTGTCTTGCTCATGCAACAACGCTGATAGTTCAAGGAACACTTGGTTTGAACTTGCAGCGGTCATCAGCCAGGAGTTTTAACCATCAGACACTGTTTTTTTTTTTGAGAATTAATTTTAGTTTACATTAAAATTGCATTACATTTTTTGCATGTTAATGTTAATGAAGCATATATATATTTAATTAAAGTTATGTGGTATATGTATTTCTTTACTGTTGACTTTTTATTTTACTTTATTTTTGTCTCTAGCTCAACAGTACCTATATGTTTCTGTTTCATTCTTTCGTTATATAGAAAACACCTAAGGGGCTGCTCACACAGAACACGTCTTTGTGTCGAAAAATGCAAGACACAGCGCTCAGGAATGTTTTTTAAAAAAGCACAGCACAGAACGCGAGGGTCTCAAGACATTTTTCAGACGTGATGCAATAACGGAAATAACAGTGCCTCCTCCACCATGCTGGCGTCAAGTAAAACAGTTGCCATGCCAACTTGCTACTCTAAACAAAAGCTTGCAATGCTTGATCCGCCTCCGGGGTCTTCTGATTGGTCCACTGCTTTGGAACTTAAATTGATGGGTGTCGCTGCGTGTAAAAGTTAAAATTCTTTTAACTTGACACGGCGTCTCAAAAACGTGGCACTCATGTGTGAGATGCTGCAAAAGACGCGAGCTGCTAAGACTGCTAACCTTCTCCTTACATGTGTTCCAAGCAAGAAAGAAATTCATCCAGGTTAATAAATGATGACAAAATATTCCTTTTAGGGTGCACTAACCCGTTAAATATGAGTACAAAAAGACAGGAATCTTCTTTTGGGATGAGACCGTTTGAAACAGACCAGCAGTCAGGATAAATCTTCTTTCTGTCACAGCACAAGGCCATTTCTCAGACATTAGAGCCCGTAGAGAGTTTAAAAGTTAAACAAACTCTTGTGTGCTTGTAAGTCTCAAATGATATCAGAGAGAGAGAGGGAAAAGGGAGATCTGGGAAGACAGAGTGAAAGAGAAAAGAGAACATATGAGAGACAGCTTTCACAGCTTTACCATTCTCTGAGGGACAGTATAAAAGGGAGGGTGCTAGTGAAAGAATATTTTCCTCCATTCTCTGGCAAGGGAAAGTGAGGCTTTCGCTAACAGATGGTTATTGGCGGCGCAAATGATGTAACACTTGAAGTAGCTTTGCCTCCGAGCACAAATGATTTACAGTCCTTTCAGAGCAATGTTTGATGTCTTCTTCAGACATTAGAGCCCGTAGAGAGTTTAAAAGTTAAACTCTTGTGTGCTTGTAAGTCTCAAATGATATCAGCGAGAGAGAGGGAAAAGGGAGATCTGGGAAGACAGAGTGAAAGAGAAAAGAGAACATATGAGAGACAGCTTTCACAGCTTTACCATTCTCTGAGGGACAGTATAAAAGGGAGGGTGCTAGTGAAAGAATATTTTCCTCCATTCTCTGGCAAGGGAAAGTGAGGCTTTCGCTAACAGATGGTTATTGGCGGCGCAAATGATGTAACACTTGAAGTAGCTTTCCCTCCGAGCACAAATGATTTACAGTCCTTTCAGAGCAATGTTTGATGTCTTCTTCACGCTGTAAGAATATGACTCCCTGTACACACATTCAGTCATTTAATACAGGCAGAAAGCCTCAGCCATTAAACACATCCGGTTCATTTCAGGGTCCAACACGTAGTGATCCAACTGAAGAATATCGGCCAAATGCTTTTTCATTTTCAGACAACATACTTTAAAGCGACAGAAAATTATGTTATCATTTACTTTAAACCTGCATAAGTTTCTACTGCGAAACACGACAACAAATTTCGAATGTCATTTTCAGTGCTGTTGCAATTAAAAACAATGCAGAAAGGCATACTTCCTAAGAGAAGTAGTGATATTTGATTCATTATTTAATTGTTTGAGTCAAACAAACTGATTTTTTTTTTTTTTAGTTTAGAACACAGACTCAATTATCCAGTCAAATTACCTTTTTATTGGAGGGGATCTGCGACAGGGTTATTATAGTTTACTAAAATGAAAACAAACAAACAAAAAAATCTAATTTAATTTTGTTTAACTTGGTGTACTAAAATAGCTCAAACTTAAACTGAAATAAAATTAATATAAATAATATAGACATAAAAAACCTTCTAAAAATGACAAAAAATCCCCCAAACAAATTACTAAAGATTTAACTAAAATTAAAATGGAAAATATAAAAATAAAATTTGATTTAAAATATGAATAAAAACTATAAAAGCATCACAATGATACTAAAATATAACTGAATATTGTGCTCCACAGAAAAAAAAGACAAGAAAGTCATACCAGATTGGATTGAATGAGGGTGAGTAAATTTTTCTTTTTTTTAGTGAACTATCACTTTAAGCAAAGCAAATGATGTGTATATTGGATCCCGATGTGAAATTCATGCCCAAAATCAAGATAATTAAAAAACAACATTTTCATAATCATATATTAAAGGCTGCGTGAAAAATGTAGACCGAAATAGCTTAAAAAATCTCTTGAAAAGGCACTATGGCAGATTACACAGATTCATTCATCCTTTACTTAAAGCATTCTGCTCCATTTGTGTTTAATGCTAATGAACTACTGCCAAGCTTCTCTCTTCATATCAGACCATATTTACGTCTTCCTGCTGTAGCACAAGTGTGGCGTAGAGGGACAGACAGGGGGGCACGGCGAGTCAAACGGGCAGTAATCACAAAAAAGCAAGAGGGTACAGGGGCCACACCGCCGTAGATTCATGTCTCCCTGTAGAGAGGTAAAACACCCATAAATATCTCCCACCACTCCATGCTGGCAACCAGAGCAGATAATTGTCATCTAATTGGCTCAATATTTCTAGCCTTTGGCCAGACAGTCTCTTTCTCTCATTCTTTCTCTTTTTCTCACCGCTGAACTCCACTGGAGGTCAAAAGAGTGTGTCTGTGGTTTACAACGACAGTCACAGTCTGTGCAGTCTGTGTGTTTTGAAATAACATGAATTAACTACAACTGTCTGCATTTGTGACCCCGTCAGCCGGTACTTTATGTAGCTGCGATGGTTCATCTGTCCTGAAGTGGTGTGGAGGTTGCAGCATCTGACGGTTATGTGAGAGCTAATCACTGCTGATGGACAGCAGAGCAGGTGAGTGCTGTTGTTTCCACTCTTGAGATCACTCAACCATCAAGAAGGCTCTGGCTGTTGAGAAAGGCCACAGCAAAGCTGTTATTACGTGTGATGTGTGTTTGTGTGTGAGCTTTTGTTATTTGTCATCTGCGCAGTTTAGTGCCAGAGTAGATTGTCTTTTATCATCTATTGTAGTGTTTCTCACCTCACTTTTCAACAAATATCTTGTCGTACACGTATGTGTATGTGCATGTTGCTGTGAAAACAAACTGTTGAAGCAATACAGATTGTATTAGAGTGACAGAAGTCATTGTGTCATTACCATTACACAGCTCTCTGGAATACTTGATTCTGATTGGTCAATCACAGCATTCTGCAGTCAAATATTTGCATATAATGACTGCTAAATGACTTAATTGACCATTATCTCCTACATAGCCATACTAGATTCTACAGTCATTTCACATGCTAAAATAATTGTAATTAAATCAATAAATCATATCAACCTATTTGCTAAGTAGCTTTCTAATATTTGAAATAATTTACATGTTTCTGTTTATTATTGTAAGAGTGATACAAGACCACTTCGCATCAGGGTCCATGTCACTATTATTTAAAATATATTAATAATATAAAATATTTATTTTGAAATAATATTACATTTTTAATTTTTTAACAAATTAAAATTAGGTTTCATTTAACAAATGATTTAACAAATTAAAGTTAAGCAGTATTGAAAAATACTAAAGTAAATAATAAAATGCATAAGTAATAATAAATCATAAAATATTTTATAATTAATAATAATCATACAATGTTTACACTATATCAAAAATTTAAAAAGCATATTTTGTTTTACTTTTTAAATTTAGTTTACATAAATATATATTATTTAAATATATACATTCAATTTGAAATTATAATAAATAAATGATGAAGAATAACATAGAACATGGCCGTTCAAAAATAAGGTAATTCAATCTGAGTTTAGGAACGTGCGAAATTAACAAAAAGCACTGGAATTCAAACTCTAGGATTTATAGCTGCAGGCTATGCAGGAAAATCTGCTAAATTTAAGGTTTACTATATTTCATTTCATAAAGCGAATAAACTGGACAAAACTGCAGGGACATATTTCTCATGGAGACTAAATATGGGAGATGAAATTTTAAACAAATAGTTCATTTCATGACATATTCAAAAATGTACACACACACACATATTTTCACTGGTACCTTATGGTATTAATTCAGTCAGTGATTTAAACTCCTGACATAATCCAATAAAATCTAATTTAGGCATTCAAGCAAAGTTTCCAGACCTGACACACACACACACACACACACACACTCACACTCACACTCACACTCACACTCACACTCACACTCACACACTCACACTCACTCACTCACTGTACTTTATTCAAACCACAGTCAAACTGGGCCAGTGCAGGGGAAAATGTACGCTGATAGAAATGTTTTTCACTGTGAGCCGCTCCACTTTCACTATAACAGGAATGATGGGGAAGCCGGAAATTCACTTAGTATATCTACAAAAAAAATATTATGTTGAATGTTATTTATTCAACCCTATTTCGAACAAATAAATCTTTCGACAGCAAGTGTGGTAGGCTGTTATTGTGGTGTGTTGCAGGTGTTTTTTCCATTTCTTTTTTTTTCCCTTTCTATTGCAACTGCCTTTGTGCAATTTAGTAAAACATTTTATAGAGTTAGCTTTACAGTCTGTTCTTATAAATATATCAGCAACATTTTAAGTACAGCACAGCTTCCTCTGTCGAGCTCTCAGTCTGTCTCTCTGTGCCTCGAGTAACTCCCAAGTTTATTGTGTAAGAGGAAAAATAAGCAGTATCTCTGTGGCAACCTTCTTGTGAATAATTCACCCTCTCTAACTGTAGAATAAAGATGGGCTGGAATGAAAGACAGAGAGAAAACACACTCTGTGCCATCAGAGGATGAACATGCTTTTACATTCCACCAGTTAAAATCCACACACACGCACAGATATGCAGAACCTCGTCTTCCCCTTTTTATGGCCTTCCGTTACGAGATGGGAAACTTTAATGTTGCATTTGCTTTGAGGGAAAACCCTGACCGCTCCTCTGATCCTCTTGGCAGCTAAACTGGGCTGTGGATTGAAAAGTGAGTGCTTGAAATGAGCTGAGTGTGGCTGAAGACATGTGT